AATCAAAATCGGAGCTTTGGAAGTGCTTCAATGGTGGAAATCGGAGATTCTACAATCTGCATAGCGTTGACGGGCCGACCGCCATGCATTTTGGTGAGCTGACAGACGTCAACATAGTGACGGGGCGACCGTCATGGTCACCGAGTTAGGTTTTTCACCCGAGCATCAACAGAGTGACGGTTTGTGAGAGGGGGATGGTGATGAGTGGGGTAATGACTGTCAACCAGGTGACGTGCTGACTGTCGTCCTCTGGAGTTGACCGATTATAAGTGGTTGACTCAATTTTTCGAGTAGATTCTGTTGGCGGTGACTGTTTACTGTTGTTTATTAGTGTTTGGTGAAGTAATGAGAGAGGTATTGAGCTATCTAACATGTTAAGAGTTGATTCAAAAAGTAACCGAGTTGAAAATTAGAGTACGCCTGGTAACTCTAAAATTCCCTAATAAAAGTGAAAAAGTCGTGAGCTAACTTTATTGAGTATTTATGTGAAATATTATCTATCGACGGGTTTTATGTGAATAATGATATAATTATGTGTGTTATGTTAAGCTATCATTATATAGTGTGATGCATTATAGTGAAGCATGTGGTTCAAATAAGATATATTGGTGATAATTTTTATATTACATTGTTGTGGCATTTTCATGCATCAGGTATATCAGAGGTATGGATTGATGATGATTAGTGATGAGACTAAATCAGTAACATAACTCTGATGTCCAAATATTGGTGATGAGATTGTTCAGTAACATAACACTGACATCCAAATTGTTGAGTATATTAGTACCACATGCATTTGTGATGAGGTAATGAATGCATTGCATATACATTTGCACTTATGATTAATGATGTTTGTGAATGAGATATAAATATGTTGGTGATTAGTGATGGTTGTGAATGATATGAATATGTTATTTTTTGAGTATGTTATCCTTTATTGCTTTATATGCCGCTAACATTTTCGAACGTATTCTAACCTTCTATTTGTTTTGTTATGGCATTCTGTACTCCTTTGGGGCACAGATAATCAGGTAGAAGAGTAGTTATTGTTTAAGCTGGAGGATGGCATTGAGGTCTCTCTGTTTACCTTATTGCTTTTGAGTCTTTTAGTTTTGGAGTCGCTCTTATGTGTAACATTAGGGGCTGGCTATTTATTACATGTTATGTTTCTCATAAATATTTTGCATTATTTCATTAATTATTGGTGTTGAGAGAAATAAATGATTCATTTTGAAGTTTTGATGCTTTATTTTGCTGCTTAAATGTATGATTTATCGAGTAAGATGTTTGGTGATGAATGTGTAATGTCTTATTTGAGGAAATTTATGTTTTATTTTTAAAATAGATTGTTGGGGTTTTAAGGTGTTACATATTCCACAAAAGAGGCTAAGACTTGGCCGAATCAATTTATGGAAAGGATGAAAGAGTTCACCAAGTTGAGTGATATTAAAAGAGAATTAAATAAGAAAAATTCAAAGACAACACCACCCATAGAAATAGATTTAGGTGATGACACATGTTTTGATGCTTTTTAGTTTTTATCTAACTATCTATTTAGATTATAACTAGTTTTTGTATGTAATATTGACACCATTTGATACATATATGATGCATATTCAACATTAATTGTATAACAATTGTGGTTAATTTTAAGAAAAATTTCTCTTTCAACCTCTTGAGAATTGTATAAGGTATATGTATCGTCAAATATTGATGCGGGATAATAATATTTCTGGAAGTCATATGTATTTGTAAAGTTATCGGTTTTGTAATTATATGTAAAGTAACTGTATTTGTGAAGTTGTTTTGAGGATCGGCTTGTGTTGAATTATATATAAGCAGGTTTATGTGAATTGCAACGATTATATGTAAAGTAACTGTAATTGTTATAAGCAGGTTTATCAGAAAAAAATAAAAAAAGTGATTATTTAAAATAAAAAATTTTAAAATGTGAAGAATAGACAGCGCTTTTAAGTAAAAGTGCTACTAAAGGGTGGGAGAAAGGGGGAGAATAGGCAGCGCTTTTGAAAAGCGTTGCTAAAGGGGGTGGAATAGGCAGCGCTTTTCAGAAGCGCTGCTAAAAGGGGGGAATAGGCAGCGCTTTTGAAAAGCGCTGCTAAAGGGGGGAAAAGCGCTGCTAAAGGGGGCCTATATCAGCGCTTTATCCATAAAAAAAAGTGTTGCATTTACCTTTAGCAGCGCTTTTAAGCGCTACTAAAGACCAAAAAAAGCGCTGCTAAAGGTCTTATTTGGCATAGTGGTTGTTTACAAAAACACACTGTATCAAAATGAACATATATTGGCATGTCGTATTTGTCTACTTCCACGACGTGAATCCCTCACTTGAATTTAAGGTCACAAAGTATACCTTTCTTATAGATCTGAAATCCATACTAGAGAATCTCCTACAATACTCAAACAACCGAAGAGTTGTGAAGCTCGAGTACCGTTCACCATCGATTGACAATGAAGGGAAAATTCAGTTCAACAAGTTTAAGCTGAAAATAGATAAAGATTTAAGAGTTATGTGGAGTATATTTTATTATTACGAAACAAATGGTCTGATTGAAGTGGATGTGACAATTGTAAGATAGACCAAATATATTCTAATGATATTGCAACATCCTGGTGAAATGTAATGTTAAATTTATTTTAACGACTATCTATGTAATGTAACGTATTTTGAAGTTAATTTATGTTTTTCTTCAACTTTCTGCATTTGTTATTGGTTTGTGGTTAAAGCTAACAGGGTGTATTCGAGATATGCATCTACGTAAAACTCGTTTAATTTTAAAATTAGAGTTATTACGGATATGCACATTCGGATTAACCCTAATATGGATACAAAGATGCATCTCCGAATATTTTTTCGGCAACATGGGGTGACTCATTCAGGAAAGCATTGAGGGTGTTTAATATGGGTGCATCTGGAGATTCATCTCAAAACATTTTTTGGGACAACATGGGATGGGATGATTTATTCAGGAAAATGTTCAGATATTTAATATGTGTGCGTCCAGATATATATCTCTAGAATCTATGAGTATTTGTAACCTTTTATTATGGTGAACTAACACCCCATAAAGTGGATAAAGTAATGTCCTAATTTTTTAACAAATCGAGTGCTAACCTACACCTAATGTAAGTTAAAACATGATCAAATAAAAAAAATCCAAAAAAATTATATACAACAACTCTCAATCAATACTTGCACAATCTAACAAACATGCGTGTCAACCTAAAAAAAATTAATTTTACTTATAACAAAGAGTATATAAGTTTAAGTAAATTATGATAAAATTAACAGTTAATAGTCACTTTGGTCTTTCTATTTTTTTTCTAGTTTTATTCTCCCAATTTTAAAATTCAGATTTTTAGTTAATTTTTTCAAGTTTCCTTCCAAATTGAGACCAATTTTTAGTGACATGGTCATTGTTATATTGACCAAATTTAATTTCACGTTTTTTTAATTTATAATTAAGTTATTTATTTATTTTTTAAAATATTCAATAATATTAATAACTTATTATTATTTAAAATAATATAAATTAATAATGTCCAATCAAATTATTTTACATTATTTTTTATATAAACTTAAAAATATTAATTACTTATAAAAATTTTGAAAAATTAATAAATAATGTACAAAACAAAATTTTGTAGGTAGTAGGGTTTGTCCCACACCCTCCAATCTATTGAGTGGTCAATTTGACCAATGAACTGAACAACACTTTTCTTTGGTTAATTTCTTCCATATTTTTTATTTATCAAACATAACTTTCCTGCATAATCCACAAGAGTGTTGTTTATCTCATGAAATCTCTTATATTTCTCCCTCAACTATTCTTTATCTTCTCCTCCTTTTCCATTTATTTTACAGGAACTGGCATACCACCCAATACACCTCTATAACAAAATAAAATAAAATTTAATATACAAGCAATTAAGAAGAAAAAAGATAACAATTCAAATAAATTCATTAATCAAGCATGTACCTATATAAATAAATGTGAGGAAGTCCATGCAAGTTCCAACAACCTAGTCATAACTCTCACAAGCACAGACCAATCATCCTTCGTGCTCACCATGAACAACCACTTTATTGATTCTTCCATCATTGCTCGAACTGTCTTTTCCATTCTTATAGCGGTTTCTTCTTTCAGGTCTAACCTCAACAATTTTGGTGGTTTCTTAAATTTCACACAATAAAGTAAATAATGATATGATATTCTAACTTCAATATAGTATTACCACAAACTTACATACGATTGAAGATACGACTGTTTTGACAAAATTCAAAATGGGGATGTAGCTCAAATGGTAGAGCGCCCGCTTTGCATGCGGGAGGTACAGGGTTCGATCCCCTGCATCTCCATAATAGGATTTTTAGTTTCTTGAGAGCATGCAATTCACTGTTCGTATGGAAAAATGGTATCTTTTTCATCTCTTGGAACATCAGTTTTATTATCAATTATCTAGTTTTATTATGACTCAATATGAGCCTATTCTCTTTCTGCAATTTATATTTTTGTTTCACTATTTTAGTTTTAGAACTCTGATAAATAACTTAAGTATTCAAAATTTATACTTCAAAAAAAAAAAATTACATAGTCTCACAAGTTTGACAAAATATATAGAACTTGACAAACTTCAATTTATATATAACAAATTCAACAATACAAAATGATACATAGCCTAGAGCCATATTGGTAAATGACTCAACAAAACATAATATACGAGCATGTAATTTAAAAAACGTGAAAGTAAATGTTTAACACTATTGATTTTGGCTTTCAGCTTCTTCATACTTTAAAATTCTATACACAAAATTCACAATGAAACCATTCCTGTGAACTATCTGGAAATGAAAGAGGATAAAACTTTTTCAGCCTCTTTTGAATAGTCATCAACAGAAACCATGCAGTTTTGTATGAAACCAAAGGGCAGCGTGCAAAACTACCCCCTATCACAGCACGAGGCAGCAGCTTTGATTTGATGTTTTATTTTGCAGCATACCAGTTTTGTGCACACTTGGCATCGACGGAGAGCCCGACTTTGAGAATATTCTTGCCATTAAAGGGGTTTGACATGCAATCAATAACTATAGCTTTTGCAACTTCGGCTGACTCGGTTGGTCCTTCCAATATGACTTCATCGTGAACCTAATTCGTCGCATGCAAACATAAGGATTTTAATACAATCAAAACAATCGTATCTGAAATAGTACCAATATGAATATAGAGTTAACCTGAAGAAGTAACTTCCATCCAAGATCCTTCAACTGTTTATTATTCGATATTTCTAACATGGCAAGCATCGCAACATCAGCCGCACTTCCCTGTTACATTGGAAACATCAGATAACTAAAAAATATAAATTGACTTCTAAATGCCATGAATTTCTTATGGGTATAATGTAGCATTGATATATTTGAAAAAAATTGAGGACCTGCACGGGGGTATTAATAGCAGCTCGTTCAATGTGACCTTTATAGTAGTGTTGACCTTGGAATATCTCGGGGAACCGTCGTGCTCGCCCTAGCAATGTGTAGACACATCCAAATTCCAAAGCTTCTTTTTTACGTTGCTTTTGCCATTTCAAAACTTCTTTTCTATCATTGTACCAGAGGTCAACTGTGTTCTTAGCTTCTTTCACAGAAACCTGACAGAAAAACATTTCAACAATCGAATCGAAATTCAGTATTTTAACCTATGCAAGCAGCACCTTATAATAAGTGATAGAGTTCACGGTACCTTCCAATCCTTAGAAAGACCCTGTGGAGTCTTTCCATATGCAATTGAGAAATTAAGCATTTTGGCTTTTCTTCTTTCAGAAGCAAACGCATCCTGAGAAAGGTAAAAGTTAATAATCAATATGAAATACCTAGTAAAATTTAAGTAGATCAGAAGAAAATTTACCTTGAGGAGAGGAACGGGGGGTTTGTCTTCACCAGGCTGAGGATACCATTCAAGAAGCACTTCGTTGTTATCAACTGCTTCACGAATATATGGATACATATTCATTGCAGTTCTGGAATGGAAATCTCCACCGGCCTCAAAGGCTTCCAACATGCTCTTACAATTAGTAAGATGCGCAAGTATCCTAAGTTCCAACTGTAACAAAACATAATAACTCCATCAACAGAATGAAATACCAAGCAACTACCTCAATTAGATGGTAAGTAAACTGCAAACCTGTCCGTAATCAGCAACTATAAGAGAATTTCCAGGAGCAGCTATGAACGCTTGACGGATTTTATATCGGTCCTTTTCCAAAGCTGGTTGATTCTAATGTAAATTATACAAGTTAGATTAAATCTTCGTCTTTTTGAAATCCAATGATTAATCAGTCCATATATACATCTGATGAGAAGGTAGGAAAAACCTGCAGACTTGGTCTTCTTGCTGACAAGCGTCCCGTCTCTGTGTTGATATTTATGGAGCAATGAACACGTTGATCCGTTCCAGATATATTATCTCCCTGTCATTGAATTGAAACATATTAAGCTAGCATACAACATGAAAATCCATAAACACAACCAGACTTGTGAAAAAGTCGAAAATAAACTTATTAAATTACCTGTAAGGGAAGGATGAAGTTAGAGATCAAAGAATCAATTGAACAGACTTCACATAAAGCAGCAATTGCATGACAAGCTTCTCTCCCTTCTTCCTCAGTTGGAAAAGCAGAAAAGGCGGTTCCGTAAGCAGAATTGTCTGTTTCTAAGGGTTCATCTTCAATTTGAGAAGGGTTCCCATCTTCATCCTCGAGACCGAAGTCATATTCAGCAGAAACTTTTCCGGCCAGCGCCTTTAAAGCGGCACCGCTACATGAGGGCCAGCCACTAGCTGTGTACATGTCAACGTTTAGGCTATATCCGATGCTATTCAACTTAATATCGCGCAATTTTGAGGGAGTCTTTTTTCCTTTGTCAATCACTTTATCAACATTGGGAACTTTGAATATCCGCTCGGTCGGAATTGCCTCATTGTGGTTTTTTCTGTATAATAGGGCAGGAAAAACTAAAGCTTTACTTTCAGTTTCATGACATACGTGAACCACTTCACTGAAAACAACTGAGAACAAGACGTGCGATAAATTAAGATAGAAACAAATGCTCCACAAAAGATTTAAATAAGGTGCACCTGTTTACAGTGCCACCAAAAAGCAGTACGCGCAACTGTGTATCGCTACCGACATTCATATACTTGACATCAGGACAATACTTAGATCCCCATTTTCGGAATCTACTAACAGCTGCCTGTTGCTCTGCTTTGGCCACCTTCTCTATCTCTTGAAGATATAACCGATCCACTAGCATACCCACCGATTCCATTTTAACAAGAAGCTCGCCAAACGGCTGCAAAAATTTCTCGTAAAAATCAAACATGTTTTCTCGTAAGAGTTCTCCATCAAGTTTCCACGGCAAATCAGAAAGATGATTCTTTAGGCTCTCATAAAGCTTCAGAGTGCTTCTAGCATCTAAGGCGGAGTAACATATCCAAGGTATTCGCTCTTCTCTTTGCAGTACTTCAACAGGATCGATGGTAACCGTTTTACCCAAAGATCCATCTTTCTTGGCCTTTCTCAGACCAAATATAGTCGTCATTGACACCTTACCGATCAAATCCTTTTCATAGTTTAGATTAGCCCTAGACATGACCTCTTCGTCACCACTAAGTGCTTCAAGAGAATAACCACCAACCCAACGTCTTGATGAATCCCATAATCGCGCCATGTGCATCGTATCAGCATGAAATCCAGAAACCTTAAATCCATAGTTTTCTATAACATGACAGTCGAAGCTATAGTTATGCCAAACCTACAAAAATGCACCGGCGACTTAAACCAATCCTACCAAATTATCAATCAAACAAACTCTTAAGAGGTTATACACATAAAGATGAGTAATACGAATAAAAACATAAACAGAAGAATGAGGAGAAAGAGAAGCTACCTTTTTAATGAATGGATCTTGAAAAAAATCTGCAAACATATTTAAAATCTTTTTGCCTCCACCATCAAGAACATCTACCCAGATACAGGACTTCCCACCTCCAAAATCTGCTTCCGGACCCGAATAAATACTGAAGCATATTATCTCCCCATGATCTACAGGTGTTTCTTTTTTCACATCTATTTTCGATACCTTTCAAGACATTAAAAGTTGGCACACATCACATGCTTAACATTTGTGAAATACAAGTAGCCAAGAGATTCATAGTGACACACTTTAAATCGAAAAAAAGGTTAAAGAATACAATATACATTCAATTTGTATTAGCTATGTACGGTGGTGTTGCAATTTGGGCACAAAGATAATAAAAGTTAGCCGAGTCAATAATTATACCTCGGTATCACATGCATGAATAAGATGCCTGTAGTTTACTGTAAGCATCTTAGCTACTTTCTTGGCAAGAGAAAGAGTGTTAACAACTAATATCTCATCATAGATACTACAGAGCCTTTCACGAAGTTTGGATTGTTCATCACTGCGTGTCATTGTAACCGTCAACTTTGTATTAGTCGCTTCTTTTGCATTTGTAGTCAAACTGTGATTGCCATTAACCTCGTCAATTTTCTCTTCACTGATCTTGAACGAAGATATATCTGACTCGGTCTCAACTCTTTCAGTGTCTATCAACACCTTTGAGTTTTCTATTATAGATGAAGATATCTCGGTCTCAGCTCTTTCCGTGTCTATCAACACCTTTGAGTTTTCTATTATAGATTGTTGAAGAGAAGATGAGGCAGGTTCACATAGATCCTGCAGCATAAGATTGCAACCTTCGTTTTTAGATATAGCCGATTCCTGTCTGATAGAAGAACAAGCAATTGTATTTGTATTAAACGGATTCGGACTACTCTTGGCTGGATCATGCATTTCCATTTTTTCCTGAGTCAATTTATAACTAGCCTCGACCCAGCCAATTTTATCACCACGGCATGGTTTGGATAATCTGTATTCCCGAGGACCCGAACGCATCATCATCCTAGCTTGTACTTCGTAGGAACTCAAAGAATTCAGCTCTTCTTTCCGTCTTGTGTGATTTGTTATCTCCAACATGCTATCCGACGCAGTTGAAAATTTCATAACTGATGTATGTATGGGAGAATTACGATTATACAACATGTCATTGAATTTATTAAACCCAAAAGATATTCGCTTTAGGCGGTATGAACCTTCTCTAAATTGAAGCAAGTTACTCGACAAATTGCTATTTAAGAGGACATTGTTGGCAGTCTGGATTGATTCAATTTTTCTTCTGCTGTGCATATGATGCAAGAAAACATAAAGGTACCGATCAATAGATTATAATAGCAAACAACTCGGGCAGACCAGGCTATGTGTGCCTACCTGCCAAAGAAAAAACCCTAATCTATGCCTTGCTTAATAATTTCTAGTTACTAGACATTCAATTTCAATGTTGAATTGTCAATTTTTTTAAAAGCTAAACAACTAGCTAATTTGAAATCGAATTTATCATCATAAATATAAAACTACTAGCAAACGTTAAGCCGGATAAAATTGTTAAGCCATGTAAAATTTCCACGGTTACATCCCCCTTTTTTCGCGAACATGATAACAATTTATATAAACCCTTGATCTTTTACTATTATGCATTTACAAAGACAATCTTATGAGAAAACCCAGACTATGTTTGGATTAATTGGATTGATGAACTAGAACGGATCAGAGCAGAATGGAACATGATGGAGTGGAGCAGAATGGAACGTGATGGAGTGGAGCATAATGGAAGAGAGGTTCCATTCCACTGTTTGTAGAAAAGCTTTAAGAATTCTTATCTGAACACACTTACAGACTACCTGCAAAATCATTCTCCACTTTGACTATCCAATCAAACTCTTTGTACACCTTTACTCAATACCTCTCTCACCCCATCTTCCCACTTCAGAAACATAAAAACAAAGCACAAATCTCACAAAATGCCAGAAAGAATAACCAAAACTACAAATTCCATCTCTAGAAATGCAACTAATATTGAGCATACCAAAAGTTCAAGTAAAGTCAAAAACATAACGTGGATACATTACAAACAAACAATCCAAAACAAGTAAAAATTCAACCGAAGCCAAAATACAACACATAAAATTCCTCAAGTTATTCAGCAATATTAAGATCCAATGAACAAAAAGATAAGAACTTTGGGTTCAGAATGAACAGACCTGTGTTGAGGCGATCCATAGGAAGCAAAAAACGACAGAGAAGAAAGAGGAAAACGAAAGGGTCGAGAAGAAGAGTGAGAAGAAAAAGATAAACAAGATGGACAATAGTAAGGTGACCTAAAAGGGGTAGCCTGAGAAGAAACCCACATGGCTGAAAACAAACCGAAGAACCTCCCCAGCTTTGTAGTGTACTAAAGAGACCGTTTTTAGTTGAAGCAGTGGCAAAAAGTGTAAATAGGAGAAAGGGTTTGTTAGGGGAAGTTGTTATAGAAGTTGGTGTGGTAATGAACCATTGGAGAACGAGGTTATCGCCATGAGAGGATGAAGAGAGAGTTTGAAGTTGAAGAGAGAGTTTGAGAGCATAAACCCTGCTGCTGCAACTTTGAATTGAGTATTGTTGCAAAATACAAAGGTGAGAATGAAACTGCGGTAAAACTTAGTGAAGTGAACGATAGAAAGGGCAAAGTTTTTATATTTTTTGACAAAAAAAAATTAATTATTAATTACAATAATATTATTGTATGATAATTGTAAAAAATATATATATTAATAAATAATAATTATACATTAACACGTCAAAATAAATTATTATTAATGTAAATTAATAACAATTTATTATTAAATAATTATTAAATTTAACGTGAATAAATAAGAAAAATTAACTAATATCCTGAAATTCGTCGGTTCAATATTAAGTAATATATTTAAAATTGTTGTCCAACATTTTATTGGTCATCAAGAAGACTGAACAGATCAAAGTTTGCATTGATCTTGAAAACAAAATTGGTTAAAGTTTTTATCGATTATTTAAACTTAAACCTCACTACTCTAAAGGATCAGTATGGACGTCATTGGTTATATTAGTTGATGTTACGACTTATCATATATTTGCCACTTTTATGGACAAATACACAAATTAGACTCAAATATTTGTAATCGAGGAAGATGCCCATGAGACATCTTTCAAATTTTCGGATGCGTTGGGCATTTATTAATAATTTTTCATGTCTTTCAAACTAAAGAATGTGAATGTCACTTGTCTAAAGGTCGTGAGTGACATCTTCCATAATCTTATTAAAAGTAGTATGAAATTGATCTTGACGGCTGATCAGAACCTGAAGTGGGACATAAGCAAACGCCTGTGATGCTGGGTGTGAGAGAGGGGGAGGGGTGTACTTGCAAGACACTCCAATGCTAAAGTAAGAATCGGGAGAAAGAATGCAAGTACAGAATATGTGTGTATTAGGGTGAATATTGAATACATGACCCACTCAAATGATAGAGTTTTTATAGTGCCCCAGCGCTTGGTCATTGGTCCCCATTTTCAGGGAGAGATAACTGTTTCCCGAAGAATAGGTAATTGTCAGAACTAGTTGTTGGAACGGGCAGAGGTGCCCATAACTAGTTATTGTTACGGGCAGAGGCGAAGTTACGAGTACAAGCGTCCTGGCTATTTCTGGATGGTGGGACCGTGCGTGACGGATAAGTCTTGTGCGTGACTGGATGTACGTTTGTGCTTTGAGGAGGAATGTGTCCAGCGTTGTTGGGGGCTGAATGCCTACAACTTTAGCAAACTCCGTGCGGGACAGAGCACGCACTCGAGCAAAAACTTCTTCATGTCATATGTCGTGGAGACCTGAGTAGTCTTCTTATTGAACCTTTCGATGTAGGCTCGCAGGGGTTCGTCCCTCTCTTTAATGATGGCCTCAAGAGAAGCTTCGGTCTTTGGGTGTCGGCGAGAGATCGTGAAGTGTCTGTAGAACATTCTCCCCAGCTGCCTCCATGAAGTGATGGAATCGTCGGGGAGTCTTTTGTACCAGGTCATTGCCCCTTTCCTGAGTGTGGTCGGGAATAACCTACATTTAATGGCGCCCCAGACGCCGCGGTAGTCGAGTAGTGCATCGATATTTTCGATGTGCTCGTCGGGATCCGTAGTACCATCGTAGGTGCCTAGAGATGGGGGTTTCTCCAATCCCTTAGAAAGGCACATATCCATAATCTCCTGGGACAACGGGCCGCGAGGGTCGTTGTCGTTGTTGCTACTGGACCAAGACGGAGAGCGGGTGTCCCATCTGTAGGTAGGATGGTGATCTCGAGGAGAGATGGGGTTCATGCTCGGCCCCGAGATCAGTTGACGATTGATCAGAACCTGAAGTGGACCAGAGACAAACGCTTGTGATACTGGGTGTGAGAGAGGAGAATGGGGTGTATCTGCAAGGCACTCTGATGCTAAAGTAAGAATCGAGAGAAAGAAAGCAAGTATAGAATATGTGTGTATTATGGTGAATATTGAATACACGACCCTCTCAAATGAGGGCGTTTTAATAGTGCCCCAACGCTTGGCCATTGGTCCCTATTTTCAGGGCGAGATAACTGTTTCTCGAAGAATAGGTAATTGCCAGAACTAGTCGTTGGGACGGGCAAAGGTGACCATAACTAGTCGTTGCTATGGGCAGAGGCACAGTTACGGGCACAAGCGTCCTGGCTGTTTCTGGATGGTGGAACCGTGCGTGAGGGGCAAGTCTTGTCGAGGATGAGTGTAGGCTCAGGGGTAAACTGGTCAACCTTCCCTGTTGGAGGGGCAGAAAGATAAATGTCTTCCCCCACTTAGCTTAACTTAGGTAATTGGGTCGTTTTGGGAGCAAAAGTGGATTGGGTCATGCCTAGCCATTGGGCCAATCCGAAACAGTAGCCCCCTAAGTTGTTGCTCTCGAGCATGGGAGTGATGACTTAAGGATAGTCCGAATATCGGGCAAGATCACCGCCAGCCGTAGAGTAAGGCTCGTTACCTTGCGCCCGCGGGAATTTGTGCTCGGGCATATGTTACGCTGCTCATCGAGGAGCTCGAGGTACAGGGAGACCAACGGTTGATTGAATCTGAAGAGGGGAAATGCCACGTGTGCCTCGAGCCGTGTGTTGCATTTAATGTGTAATGATGTCTAGGCTAGGGTCATGATGATGCCTCTAGCCGCACGTGCTCGTGCACATGCCAGGAATTGCCTATAAATAAAGCGAGAAGCTGCTCATTTGCACTTTTCGCTTCTCTCTCTTCCTTCGTCTTCTACTTTCTATTTCTGTCGTCCGCCGCCGTCAAGCTTCGTCCGGCCATTGTACCAGCACCGGCCAGAGCCGTTTGAGCCCAATAACTTCGTCCTCGACCATGTAAGTACGCTAATTCCTTGCTTTTTGTATGTTTCGTTGATTTCTAGACCTTAGATTGCATGTGGTTAAGGTTGCAACAAAGTAGTTTTAGGGCAATTTCTGGTTGTTGTTGGTGGCAGACGGTGGTTTGGCCACTTTCTCTGCTGCCGACGTCGCTGGGACTTTCAGGAACTTATAGACTTTTAGGATTTTAGCTGATTCTGGTATCATAGGATACAGCGGCGTTCGTTGCCAGAGGGAACCACGAATTATGGTGTACTTATGAGCTTTCCAGTGGTTTCCTCTTGGAGATTCGGGGTTTTGTCCCCGGGGAACTGTCCTCGGATGTGTCAGGGAGATTGATCGGGCATGCCTCAGTTGTTGACTGTGCCATTTGAGTAAGGCTTAGGTCGAGGACATTGTCCTCGGGCCTTCGTGTGCCCTTTCACTTGACTAGCAGTGGAAGGTTGGATTTGATTTTGTCATCGAATTCACTTTTATCATCTGCTTTTCAGGTAAAAGAGATGACACACAGGGCCGAAGATGAAATTTTGATAAACCTATCCGAGGAGAGCTCCTCGAAAGAAACTGAAATTGATGATGCCTCCATGCCTCCTTACACTGAGGAGGTGCCCGTTTCGAGGACCATCGCTGAAGAGTGGTTTGTGGCCGAACTAATGGAGCACGCCTTGCTCTTTGCATCTTTTACTGGGGACATTTTTACAATAATGGGGCTCGAAGGAGAGTGGATGGTCCACTTCCCTAGGGAAGATGATCGTATATGCTCGTCGTACCGGGAAAGGTTTCCCATGTACGAGTACATCTTCAAGGAGATAGGGCTGAGGTTGCCCTTCTCAAATTTTCAAAGGGCAGTCATTATGCATTTGGACCTGGCGCTCACCCGACTGCACCTGAATTCGATTGCCTTTATGAGAGCATTCAAGCTAGTATGCAAATATCTGGAGATTGGGGTTACTCTCCCGCTCTTCTTCACCGTCTTCCACTTCCAACGACAGGTGTCGGGGAGGAAATTTGGATGGGTCTCTCCAAAGTATGGGAGAAAGCTTTTCAAACCTTTCTTTGAGTCTATCCGGACTTTCAATGAAAGGTTCTATGTGATTGAGCCAGTGTCGGAGAAGGCCACCGACTCGACCTTTGTTTGGGAGGTTTCTACAGATGAAAACAGGGAAGATTTGGTAGATGAGGATGGCAAGATAGTTACCCGAAGGTTGTTCTAGTTTCCTTTCTACTAGAGTGAGGCTCATTTTACTCGATCAAACGACGAGTACATAGTCACTCCTCACCAACTGGGGGACGATGATTGGGCCAATTATGCTAAACTGGTGGCCTTTGTGGATGGTTTCCTCCCCTAGTGCGTGACTCATGCTGAGAAGATTATATACGAGGAAGATAAGGGGGCCTCACAACACGAAAGAGCTCTTCGAGTGTAGCACTCGTGCGAGGGCTCTAGAACTCTTGGGTGGCCTTTTACTTCCTTTTAGTTCATTTGAGTTGTTTTTTCCTTTCATGTGCTAATGTGTTCGTTGTTTTGCAGATAATATATCTTCTGCGCAAGAGTGAATGGTGAAGAATGCCCATGGAAAAATGAAGGGAGGTGTGACTATAGGGAAAAGTCGTCTCAGTCAGCGAGCGAATCCTCCTCAAACACGGTCAGGGACCTCCTCGTGCATCCCACCCACTGCCCAATCGTCGCATTTACCCGTGAGTTCGAGGCTTAAGCGTTCATATCCGAACGACTTCGTGGACCCCAGTAGAGAGAGAAAAAAGAACAGGTTTGAGCTGCCTCCGTGCCTACATAACAGGAAGTTCTTTGAGGGGTCCTCTCTGGCCATCCCTCGGGCAGAGTCCCTCAAGCTCAAGGAAATGGACCTTCCCAACAAGTGGACCATGCTTGTGTAAGACGCTTCTGCTCTGATGAGGATCCTGGAGATGGCGGTGGCCTACACCGAGGATGGTTCTCAGCATGAGTGAGCTAAAGAAATCTCAG